AATAATAGGCCCCCCCAAAAAAGCTTTCACTTATACTAGTTTTCCCTTGCTGTGTCTTGGCACCCCGTTTTCCCTCTATCACGTTCCCCTGACACCTTCGAATCTCCTATCAGGGCTTCAGATTACCGTCTTAAATAGACAATTACTGCATGATTTCCCCAAATCCTCCCTCCTTTCAACCCTTTTCCAGAATCTACTTCCTTTCTCTTCTGTCATCCCCATCAAAAGACTTCACCCTGTCCCACAAGCCCTCGTTTTCGCCTTCCCCTCGGCCCGCACTCCCAAAAGTCCCTGCTTTCCTCTCCCCTCCGATCCTCGCCGGCCTTTTTCCGGGGCCCCAGGCCTGCTCACCACCTTTCCCAACAATCCGGCCCCCCGATAGTACACTCCCCCTTCAGCGCCCCTCTGCCCACACGCAGCTCCCCAGGTCCCCCCGCCTCTCCCGCGCCCCCCGCTCGCCGCGATTCCCTCGCCCGCGAAGCCTTACCCGCCGGCTCCAGGATGTGTCGCGCTCCCCGCGGACATGGCGACCGGCTCGGCTCAACCACCCGCCAACTCTCCCACAACCACCCTCCCGTCACTTCCGCCCCTAACGCCCTGACGCACAGTCTCTTCCGGTCGCGAGGCCAAGAAGTTCCGGTTAAAACGTCTATTCCGATTGGACTCTCGTGGATCTCCAGGCGTCTGGCATTAGCCGAGGCTGGTAGGGTGTGACCTTCTTGTCGGGCCGTGCCCCAGAGAAAGATGGTTACTGATCCTCGCATTAAAGCGGAATTAGCGCGGGGAGAATTGATCTTTGTTGTGGGCACATTGGTAGCCTACACGATAATACGCACGAGTCTGGGAATTACGCCGATTTCCCCCAAAATTGAGCTGTATTCTTAGGGGATCCCAGGCGCTCGTGGGGAAGAGCTTTCTCGAGGTCTTTTGCCCACTTCACGTTTCAATTACCTTATTTAGGAAACGGGAAATGATTCGTCCTAAAGGTCATTGGAAGAATTTATGGTTTTGTGTGTGTTTTGTTTCTTTTCCGTGCGCCAAGCACTGTTTTAAGAGGAGGACACAGATAAAGCGGAAAGCTACGGGTCCTGCCTTCCTAGTACAATGAGGCGGGCAGGCACGCAGACAGATAGATGCGTATGGCGAGGTGGTATCATCAACTGTGAAGAAGGTGAAGTACTCGACTTGAAGGCGCTTACACTGAAGTATTTGAAAGAAATGGAAGCTGAACACCTGAGTCGGGGCGGAGAAGTGGTAATAGGTTATGAAACCCCGTTAAGATTGAACCGGCCTGAGTGTGGGGGCCAGATCCCGAAAGGCCTTGAAGGCCAACCGAGAAGTCAGAGTTGATGTTGGAAGCCAGAGATTTCCAACATGGGGGTACCTTGGAGCTGCAAGGAGTCTCTAGCTCACATAAATATAATACAGCACTGTATTTCAAATAAGTTTGCATTCTGATAGGATTAATAGAATACAAAATCATTTAAAAAGTCAAATTTGTAGTGTTGCCCTTTCAGCATTTAATAAGTTTCCCCTTCTTACACATGCCACTGATATTGGATGTGAAATATATATTTCTGCATTCTTTTGTTGCATTGATCTATTTGCTTTGCTATAGTGTCTATTACAGTAATTCCATGTGTATGTATATTTTTAAAATATGTTTTTATTTATTTTAGAGAGAGGGAGAGAGAGAGAGAGAAACATCATCTATAAGAAAGAAACATCAGTGGGCTTTCTCCTGCACACCCCCTACTGGGGATCCAGCCCTCAACCCAAGCATGTGCCCTGAGCAAGAATCCAACCAGCCAGTTCCTGGTGCATGGGATGATGCTCAACCAACTGCACCACACCAGCTGGGCCCGTGTATATTTTAATATCTGTTCGGGCGAGCCGATTCTCATTCTGCATTTTCTGCATACAGGTGTATTTTTTTCCAAGTGAATTTTATTTACTTTTAAAATAACTATATAAATTTCAAATGTACAACATAATTCAGTATCTGTGTACTGTATTGCATGTTCACCACCAAAAGTCTAGTTTCCTTCCATTGCCATATATTTGACCCCTTTACTCAATTTGTCCTGCCCCTAACCCCCCAAGTGAATTTTAGATTAAACAACAGTGTTTTCCCTTTGCCTTGTCTCCCCAAAACACATGGCTGTTGGGATTCTGATTGTAATTCATGAACCAAAAAATCTCCCCTTTTTAAAAGGGTAGTTTAAGCGTACAATTTAGTGCCTTTTTGTGTATTCACAAAGTTGTGCCGCCATGACCAGTATCTAATTCCAGATCATTTTCATCACCCCTAAAGCAATCCTGCCCCCATTAACAATTACTTTCCATTTTCCTCTCCTGTCAGCCGCCATCAACCACTAATCTACTTTCTGTCTCCATGGGTTTGCTGATTCTGGGCATTTCATATAAATGGAATTATATATGATCTTTGTGTCTGGCTTCTTACAGTGTTTTCAAGGTATCAATGCTTTGTAGTTTTCAGTTTGCCAATAATGCACACCTTTTTGTCAGATTTATCCCTAAGATTTTTCTTTTTGATGCTCTGCCACTTTTTTGAGTATATGTATATATTTTTTATTGATTTCAGAGAGGAAGGGAGAGGGAGAGAGAGAAACATCAATGATGAGAGAGAAACATTGATCGCTGCCTCCTGCATGCCCCACACTGGGGATTGAGCCTGCAACCTGGGCATGTGCCCTGACTGGGAATCCAACTGTGAACTCCTGGTTCATAGGTCAACGCTCAACCACTGAGCCATGCCAGCCGGGCTGGACTAGATTATCTTAAAGATCCTACCATCCATCTCAAAAGTTTATTATATTTTATGAGGTGAGGGACCTTATTTTATTAATTTTTATCTTCCCACCATCTAGCACAATGCCTAGCACATAGTAACAGTTTGGGAAATGCTGTGATTAACACACGAATGACTAAATAATGCAAAGGAGGGAAGGAAGGGAGGGAGGGAGGGAGGAAAAATCAATAAATCAACCAACAAAATTCTAGAAAAGTGCAAGGGCCCAAAGTGAAGTTCTTTGACTCGGCCAGCTGGTGGCATCACTTCTCTACATTAACCACAGGGCGGGTGTTGATAGGGCAAGGGAAAGGATTTAGATTAGAAATGAATAAAGGTAAAAAAAGAAATGATCACAGGACCAGATATTGCAAATGGATAGCAGAATTCTGACCCAGCTTCTTTTCTTCAAGCCAAGAGAAAGTAAGTCTGATGCATTAAGCAGACACCTTCGCTGCTAGATTGCCAAGGTGATGCTTGGATGGGTGGCCAGGAGGTAACTCATGGGACTCATCTGAACTTGGGCGGACTCATCTGAACTTGGGCTGGGCCCTCCCCTTCTACCACCCCCTTCACATGTATCCCTTGCTGAAAAACCCAAACATCCTGTCACCCTCTGGACCTTTTTACCTTTGGGTCTCTTCTATAAGGTTCATTAAACCCACTCTGCCTGGCCAGCATGACTCAGTAGTTGTCACGGTTTGATTCCCAGTCAGGGCACATGCCCAGGTTGCGGGCTTGATCACCAGTGGGGGATGGGGTTGGGGGCAGGAGGCAGCCAATCAATGATTCTGTCATCATTGATGTTTCTATCTCTCTCTCCTGCTCCCTTCCTCTCTGACGTCAATAAAAAGACATATTTTTAAAAACTCACCGCTGATTTATTGTCCCGAAGGGCCCTTCTCCTCCCCCAGCACGCCAAGGAAACTGAACATCAAACAGTGTAATTAGATCAACCGAAGGACTTGTATGCATGCATATAACCAATGGACATAAGACACTGGGGGGTAGGGGAGGCCAGGGGATTGTCAAGGGGGGGGAGGAGACATATGTAATACTCTTTGTAATACTTTAAGCAATAAAAAACCCGCCACACACACATTGTAATTAGTTGGCAGAGGGCAGGAAGGTATTGAATATTCTGGAACCCTTGAAAAAGCCTCACTCTTCTATCTACCCACCTCCCACCTCTGTTTTCCCATCACAGCAAGTTGTGCAAAGGGTAGGGATATGGGCACAAAATGGGAGGACCCAATGAAGCCTGTTTTCCGGTTAGGACTGAGATCATGGGGAGACAGGATGAGGTGTGGTGAGGGTGTATCTCGGGATCCATCTCTGAAATAGCGTTTGGGGGTTGGAGAAGAGTGGGAGATGCCCTTGACTTCCGGCTCCACCGACGAGAGCAGGGAAGGTGCAAAGGCAGCGGAGTGAGGGAGGTTAGCAGGACTACTGTACTTAATACGCAGAAGCAGGAACAGAAGGGAGGGCCGGCCCAGGTCCACTCAGGGCCTCTCCGGCTGTGTTCCCAGTAGGGAGGAAACAGGAAGCTGTGACTTCTCCTCTTT